TTGTACATCGGGCTCCGCATCTTGCGGCAGGTCCAGGTGAAAACCCAAGGCTGCAAGCCGGCTCTCTTTCAATGACTTTGCGGGTGGTGTTGAGAAAAAAACAAAAGAGAAACCACAAGACAAAGGGGGACTAAATCCATCCCCCTGCGGCTTCCTTGAGAGCACTTCAAAGGTTGTGGGTGGCTCTGCACTCTGCACTGGACCTTGCCGTATTCCAAGGGGTCTTTGAGGGATGGAGTAGGACAAGAGCACCAACAAACTCAACAAACTCCTCCCACGACAGGTTTCAACGCTTGAGGCCGAGCATCGCCAAACATGCTGAGGCAATGCAGTTACGTTTGCCATAGCTTCATCGCCTTCTAGTGATCAATACCGTGGATGCTAGACAGGGGGTCGGGATACCAAAGCTTTCGAGGAGATCGACAAAGTATAGGCCCTTCACCCGAGGAAACACATGAATCATGTTTTTTCCTTTGGGCTAACGTCAGTGACAGCTCCAAAACGAGTGTACTCACGCACAGCCGAGGTGCTTTGGCCTAGACCCCTGGGCTCTGAAGCGCTTTCTGCACTAAACATTATCATCATCGAAGTCATCTCCAAAGTCCTCGCAAAGCGAAGGTTGACAAGAAACCCAGAAAGCAAAACAAAAATCAGCCGAGGCGAGGCTTCGCAACCAAATAAAGTGCAAAGGCCGGAATATCCAGCTTAACGATCAACCATGCAGTTTTGGGTACTGCCATCTTACTGCGTTGGGTGGCCCAAAGCATCAGAGCTCTTCGTTACGGAATGGCTTTCAATGCATTGGACTGGGTGTCTTGATCGGCCGACAGGAATGGTCGCCTTGCCAGTTGCGAGAGGCGCCATCCACACATGGCGCATGGTGCGCATGGTCCTTGTCGTACTCTTGATGCACCCGCTTCTCGAGCAGCGCTTCGAATGCAACATCCTCCTTGGCCCAAGGCATGACTCAAGCCTCTGAGAACTAAAAGAAAGAACGATCGCAGGTTGAGAAGGCGAGCCTATAGCAAGTGCGCGTAAGGATAAACACGTTCAAAGATGTCCTGATGCTTTTGTTCCAAGCGGGTGCTGCTGGCTAATCCGATGCAATCCATCGCATGAATCTCTCCAACCCGACAGCACGTGATAGAAGCATACTAGGCCTACAAAAAGCGTTCAACAACGCAAAGTAAAGAGGAACTCCTCCAATTGGCAACTCGCCATTACAGTCACTTGTACGTGATGGGTGGCCGAGCGAGAAGGCGGGAACTCTCCTGCGCGCGTCTTCACAACAGCAGTTCCAACCATGGTGCGGCTACTTGAAGCCACAGAACCATGGGCAAACTTCCATGATCAGTAGTGCTCGCAGGCAAGCCGAAGACACGTTTGACATTCAGCCAAAGCTTTGCACCCAACAGCTCAGCCAGTCTGGCAGTTGCTTAAGCTGTCACTTAAACAATTGTACAACTTGACAAGTTCATGTCCATGACCATTGGCCTACATAACCGGCAGGGAGCAACCAAACATCACTCGAAGCAAATGGATCGCATGCAACATGGAAGTCCGGCTGCATGCCAAGCTGCGTCATCCTCCATAAGCCTCAGCATGCAATTGTGCCGTGCTTCTAGAACCCGCTTCCCTACCTGCTCTGTCAATGTGTTCAGCAAGTAGATGCAAGTAGCTCCTTTTGTAAGTACTCTTATGTCTCCTCTTGTAAGTACTCTTGTCAAAACGTGCTGGGGGGCCCAACGAAATAAGGTCATGTTCGCTCTCGACAAGCGGATAAGAAAAGGCGCCAAACAAGCACCAATTCCTAGGGAAGCATCCTCTTCAAGCACCTCTCCTCTTTCTTGCTTGCATTCTGAAAATATTTCAATATAAAATGACACCTCCTGTAAATCAACCAGCCTAATGCAGGAGGTGCTCTGGTATGATGCCTTTGCACATAGGTACAAATGCCTCCCCCAACCCGAGGTGCCTAGAGAAAGTCGCTTGTGATTTTTGCTGGAGGCGCAGAAGGTCCACCATGAGCGTATAAACAAGCCACAAGGCCACAAAAGACAACGCTAGGGTACAATCCTGATTGCCCTGCATGATGCGTGAACCAATCCCGCATTGCAAATCAGGATATATTCATGGGATCCATTCAGGATCCATAAATACTCTTGGAAGGCCCGAATTCAAGGCAGCAATTTGATGCAAATCACAGACAGCCTCAGGCTTTGAGCTTGCCTTGCCTGCAACATGTCGGCAGGCGCCCGGTTCGCCAATAGAAATCAAGGAGGGGCCACCTAAGCCCGGGGTAACCCACCCTCGCTGCCCAATTTTTGGGGGAGCTTTCCCATTCCAACTGCAGCCCATTTTGGAAAACCTTGGTCCAGAAGCCAATCGACTCATTCCTCCAAGAAGCTCCACAGGTCCCATGGCGCTGTCTTCCTCGGAAACCCCGAGCGCCGGCAAAGAAAAGCGGGCCCAAATCCATCGGCCCCCCCTTTTGAAATGAATGTCGCATTGTGTTTTACTCATCATGACGAAGGCGAGGGTGCCCATGGCCCCCTTCCACGCAAAAAAACAAAATCACAAACGAACGCCGAACCTGGGAAGGTTGAGTGCTTGCTCGACGGGGGGAGACCTTCTTGAAGAGTTGCTTTCTTGAGAGTCAAAAAGGGGCAACTTATCTTGGTTGCTGCAACGACCCCCCTGCAAAAAGTGGATCACTTTTTGGGGGCTTAGTGGGCAACCCAACTTGATGTCAATCAAAAAGTTAAAGTCTAAAGATCCAACCCATTTCAGTTAAGATATCTTACCAGCTTGTGGGCGATTTGGTTGATTGCATTTTTATATATGTATATATATATATATATAGCTCTTCTGGGCGCCGCATGCAGCGCCAAGTTGAAATAGCCACTGACACTTCAGACCAACAGCATGCCTGAAATGAAGCCACGGCAAAGTCTGGCTCGAAACCGGGCGTCCAAAGGCACCCACCCAGCCACCCGACTGTCCGAGCGGCCATGGCAGCGTCCGCATCTTCGCGGCGGCGGGCGCTGCCGCCCGGCCCTGGCCGCGGAAATGCTACGGCCCATCTTCGAAGCTTCGAACCTACCCGGGTGGATGGCTGAGAAAATATAAAATGACCTTCCTGGAGTCTCCGTGACCCTTTAAAGATGGGGTCATGACCCCATGATTTTGGGTAATGACCCCATTTTTAAGGGGTCATGGAGACTCCAGGTTCCTCAAAAGTTGAAAGACCCGAAACTCACAGTTCCCACCCCCAGCTGAGGTTTTTACTCCAGGCTTCGTGAGGTTTCCGCGGGACGGCTTTGAGCCGCCCAGCTTTGGTCTGAAAACGGTCCGAGTAACATTACTCCATACGATTCACCGGGCCGAGAAAGTATAAAATAAGCTTCCCCAAAAGTTTAAGGACCAAAAACTGGGGAAGTCATGCGTATCCCTGAGACCGATCCCTGAGCAGAACCAGGAGCTCAAGCTCTTTCAGGCGGTAGACAATCACCACCACAACTGGGTGGGCTGATTCTCATATGCCGCCCCAACACCAAGCAAAGCTTCTCCCTTTTGGACAACTAGATGCATTCCACTGGCAAATGACCACCAACTACCCCTATGGTTCCAACCCCCCTGGAAAACAAAAGCCGTAGGATTGAAGACAAGTGCCTTGCTTTCAGATCTATGCGGCGCTACTGGGAACCGAGGCCTGCTTGATTTGTGTCGCAGGGGTTGGCTAAGAATGGGAAGGTGCCCTGCGGACAGTGGCTCAAAAATATGGTAACCCCAAAACGGCTTGCCCTGGTAAGTGGAAACATGGACCAAAACCTGCGGTCCACATCCTGGTGGCTTAATTTTGACCCATGCGGCCCATGCCCAGTTCAAAGGCCAAGAGTTGCCCAAGGGAGCACCAATCAAGACCAAAATTTGTGCCTTTGGCAAGTAAGTTCACCACTAAGAACAAATCCGCGAAAATTGTTCCCCTTCCCCCACGGCCGCTGGGCAGCTAGGCTTGACCCCAAGATGGTTCCTGTTCGGTGGTGCCATGAAAGCGCAGCCAATTTGGAGAAGGTCCTGGGCTTCCCTTGACAAACGACAAGGCCAGCTTTTCCTTAGCGTGCGCTGCGAAAAAGGCAACACGAATGGTGGGTCATGAGTCATGAGCGCCTTATACTGCAATGGTGCCTTGGGGGGGACGCTTGGCATCTTTGCAACGTTGACTGACGCAATGGTCTCAAATCCAATAAATCTCCAGCGAGCCATGCCAAAGTGAGTCACAATCAAACCTGGTACAAAAATGGTGAACGCAGAACCATGTAAAGAATTAGCAAGGCGGATTTCCCACAACCATTTCCGGCAGGGACTGCCCCTTACTAACCTTCACCAATCCGCGGGTTTTGAGCACTCCAGGCGAAGGCTTCCGCTGCCCGCTACTGGAGCAAACCTCTCCGGACCTCCAGTATCGAGGACTGTGGCATGGTCGCATGTTGCGGGCACCGGTCCGTGTCATGATGGTTGTCATGATGATATGTGTACAATATGTTCTTGCTTGATGACATGTATTCTGGAATGTGTGCTTCTGCTTCTGCGGGCAATCGCTTCAAAGCCCTGTTTCATCACTGGGGGGCCTTTCCTAAAGATCAGATTCGTCTGTCGACTGCGAGGCCATGCGAGGCCCGCTGCCTGCCGCTTCGCGGTGCGACCCGCCAGTCCATGGTGCTAGCCAGCTAAATATAGCATCGAAGCGATTCCACTATCGTTTCGGACATACATGCCCGAGATGGCCACAAGAAACTGCGAATCCATTGCGCAGGTCTTCGAGCGTTTGCCGGGTGTGAAAAGGAAGGCCAGGGTGGGGCAGACTTGGGTTCAGATCAACAACCTGCTCCATTTTGCCCATGACGCAAACAACAGCCTCCTTCTGAGCTTGGCTTTAAACAACCCAGGGTCCCTGGCTCCACCGACTTTTGCCCCACCCCACCGACCTTACCGATCCGTCACTTCAGCAGCGTGTCGGGCCAGCGAGAGGCGCGGCCCTTCTTGGCCAGGTGGATGATCAGCTTCTTCCCATCACCCTCGTCCTAGGATTGGCGCGCTGCGGCTACAGGTCCAAAGGCAGGTTGGAAAGGTTTTGTCGTTGTGAAACACAGCTTGATACATCTGCAATTTCTACTACCAAAAGCTGAATTAAGACTTGGATCACCAAGTAAAGGACCTTTAGCCTAGTGAGCTCGTTATACCCCAGGTGAGCTCGCTATAAAATAGGCAGCTCCATGTTCCCTTGTCCAAATTTCAAAAGCACCCCCGACGCCCGACCCCGCCTCGATCTCCCAGAAGCATTCCTCGCTGTCCAGCTCGCACCCGGGCACGCCGTCGATGAGAGCCTCGCCCTTGACGGAGATGCTCACCTGAAGTCCCGCGTCATTCGCCCTTGGGGTACTGGCCCCCCATCCCCCGGAAATCCTCTTCCAACTTTGTATGGGTTCTGAGAACCTCCTGGGCAGGCCCCAGCATGCACCTCTCACACAGGTTGGCACCCTTTCTTTCTTTCTTTCTTTCTTTCTTTCGAATCAGCTGGACTACGTTCGTGAGGTGCACATAGTCTCCCCTGTTTTTTTTTGCGGCCCGTTTGGAGCCTGAGAATCGTGTCGAGAGAGCTCCGGGAGCTCCTCTTCGCAAACCCCCCAGTTCTTCCGTGACCGTAGAAGAAGACGGACCCAGAATCAGGCTTGACCATTTGTTGTGGGGAACCTCACACAGAAAGAGATCCTAGGGCCCTGAACGACTCGGAACCAGGTGCCAGCAGGGGGGCACAAGGCGCAAGCTCCAATGAGCAAGCGCATTGACTGAGCGCTCATCACGAATCACGCCGTGCTGTTTGTGGGCAGAAGTATGCTCTCCATAATTCATCGCGCATGTTTTTGTTCGCGAACTGCGGCTCAAATGCTCCAAGACCTGTGACATGCCTTTGAGACATCTCGCTGCCTGCCACCAGGCAGGAAAGGTGTTCAAACTTAAAACGCCGGTGCTAAGAAGAATTCAGAACGCCGTTGTGAACCTTGACCTCCATGCAGCCCAATATCCGGCCTGGCGCAAGCTGAAGCTTGCCGAGATATCTTTCTTGGTTACCTCCTCGTCCACCGGCGCGGTGACCAGTATCGTCAGCCCTCAGTCAAGAAAAAGGTAGGTGACGGGGTGCCCCAAAAACCCTGCCACAAGGCCAGAAATGCAACTGGAAAAGGAAAGCAAAAGGACCCAATAGATTAATTCTTGATCTTTGGTGTGCGGCTTGGAACAACCCGGTCCCTCGTGCTGTTAAAGTTGATGCCAGAAACAAGGTAAATATAAGAGGGCGAACTCGCGCCGGTGCATGTTTTTTTTGCTTCTCCTTTTCTTTTATATATACCCTATGCTTCCAAAGCCTATTAAAAAAATAGTCGTTGTGACAACCCCGGTTTTTTGATAAAGACTATTTTTTGATGACGAGCGGCAGCCTCCGTTTAGGACTGGAACGGGACTAGGAAAGACTTGACGCCAAGGCCGCCTCATAGGATCCCAAAGCCGAACAGGTATTTTCATATGCAGCAATATGTGTTACAATCTTCAAGGCTAATGTTGGCTTCTCTGTTGCTTGGTTTCTTAACATGGCCATGTAGCTCGTGAGGGTGAATCCTCTTCTGACCGTTTCTGTCCTTCTTTTGCCCCACCTTCTTAGCCAAACCAAACAAAACGGGACAGCAAAAATATTTACCCTTTACAGCAACCATTCCAGGGTGAGAATGTTGATCTTCTGGGTCCCCTGCAAACTTTGCCCGTTCTACGCCAAAAAATAGTGGTTCTACGCCAAAAAAATGTGTTTCTACGGTTTTTCTACGCTTTGTCTACGGTTTGTCTACGCTCACATCGTTTTTGGAGCTGTGTGAAGATTGGAGCGGAAAAAACAAGCACAAAATTGCTTGTTGTTCGTTCCACCTGCGCAAATTGCAGAGGAAAATTCTAGAATTTGCTAGAATGAAGGCCCCGTCTACGCAAGACTTTCAGCAGGTGCATTGTGCAAACACGAAAGGGCGCCGAGGACCCTATCAATAAATAGCAATCTACTGGCTCCCAAGGCTTCTTAAGAGGTTGCAATAGCAGGCGTAATTTCAATAAAAACAAAGTAACAACCCAAAATGGATCCCAAAGGCCAATGTCAAAAAATAGGGGTTGTCAATGCAAAAAATAGGGGTTGAACAACCCCTGTTTAAAAAAAATCGAGGAAGCATAGGGTATATATATATATAAATAAAACAGACTTGAACCACAGACTCTAAGCATCTTGTCGTTGATGCACCGGTCACTAACTTGATGAATGGCCCTCAGGAATTTATTGTTGAGCTTTCCATGTGGCTTATTCTTACGCGGCGCTGGCAAAAGCTTGCCCGTCGTCTCTTGCCAAACCTGTTGCGCCGTGCATTGTCACAAATTATGTCATATCTATACGGGCTCGTTTGCTCGTCCCCTGTAAATCTCATTAAAATGTGTGCGACCAGCTTCAGGGTCCCACCGTTTTGGTCACCTCCACGGCCCTCCCCGAACAAAATCGAGGCGCCGCAGCGTTCCCAGCTATAGCGGCCGCTGGGGTCAGTGCCCCCCGGGCCCAAATCCTCCCGGCCGTAGCCTTCCTCTTCCGCCGCGCGGGCTGTGGCCGTCCTGGGGGGCAAGGCATGCCCTTGCCATGATTAGAGTTAGGCCCAGTTTTTAATTGCTTCACTTTGAGTCACTGGTCAAATGAAAAATGTATCCCAAGTCTAACCCAGTTGCAAAGGGTGGTGAATGGGGTGTGTGGGACAGCTGGCGTTTCCTTGCCCACTTCCGTGGTTGTTGAACAAATGGGCTGATTGAACTCAGTTGTTCAGTGACCCTGGAAAATGCGCTCGGGTGATATCCCCAACAGCATGCCGCACCACCCCGCAGCCCTCCCACAACCTCGTGGAATATTGGTGGAAACCTGGTGGAACCCTCATGGAACCTTACCTCAGAGCCTCAGGGCCGCCCCGGACCACCCCGGAGCCTGTCTGGGCTGGGACCCCAAAGCTTTGAGCTGTTGGGGAAAAAAGGGAACCCTTTTTGGGGAAGATCATTTTTAGCGGGGCAGCCACCAAAAAAAGAAAAAGGGTGCCACTGAACAACCAAATGAGGGGGGGCCAACGCAACATCCAAGGGATAAAGTGGGCATGGGTTGCGATCGCCGGAGAAAAGGTCCCTCTTTCCAACAATTTGCTTGCTGGAAGTAGGCTGTCAGCTTCCACTTGTTGGAGGACGGGTGCATTTGCTTCCATTTGTTGGACGAAGGGTGGATTTACAACATAGAGAGAACTAATCGCAACACGAGCCAAGTCCAGAAGACATAGCTTCATTTGGGAAATGAGCTGTTAAAAACAAGAAGAAACAAAACGGGTTTAAATGCCTTACATCGACACATACAACGTGCTTTTCTTTGTTTTTTTCAAAACAATAGGTAGCATGGCAAAGGTTCCCCCTCTGGCGAGTCCTCCTTCTGCTCCCCGGCACAGATGCCGCCACTGCGGCCGCGCTCGCGAGCACGCTTGCCGTGCTCGGGGCTCGTGGCCGCCCGTGTCCGGCCTGCGCGAATACGGGCCAAGCCTGAGGAACGGCAAGCTATTCCAGCCGACCTTCGTTCTTTTCACAGGGATCCTTACATTATACACCTGAGCATTGCCTTGTAAATGGTAGTTTCCGTGTATTTTGGTGGAAAAAGCAATGTTTCAAAATGTGCAAAATGCATCTTTTAAGAAACCCTGTTTCAGAGATGCCCTTTTTGAGCAAATGGCCCAAAATTAAGGAAGCATATTAGGCTGTTCGGAACGGGCATCAACCTGTTCACTTGAGCATTTCGAGGCGGGCAGCACCTGGACATGCAAAACATTCGGGCCAGCTCTTGATTCAGGAAGAAGCCAAACTACGCGTTGCCTCCGGGATGGTCTTCCCAACTGGGAACACTGCGGATGACATATTAAATGTGACAAGTGGGGAACGACAACATCCGTACTTTGCCGTACGTTCTGGCTGGTGTACTTGCTCAGCGCTCCTGCATCTGAAGACTGCATGGGCAAACATAGCCCGCGCCAGTGCAACCTGCACGACTTCTGCCTTCAGCGCCTTTGCATGTTGAACCTGATTCTGAGGGTTGTGGTGTGCCTGGGGCCTCCAAGGAGCACTTCCAGCACCATATCCGAAAATTGTTCAATACTCGACGTTTCAACAGCATAGCTACAAAGTGAGCGGCTTAAACAACCCTCCTTGAAAACATCATGTTGCGATGTGAGCCCTTTAAACACCCTGCTAATGCAAAGGATCAAACGGAGAGCCAAGCAAGCGGGTCGGGGGCAAACACCCTCAAAAAGGAAGGAGGCATGTCTACCGTGAATACATGGGGCTAAATGTTCAAGTCCAGCCCCGATTTGCCCTGCGGATGAGTATGGGGGTGTTCCCTGAATGATCAGGATCCTTTCACCCCCCTCAATCCACCTGAAAGGCCCCCTGCGAGCAGGTCCGGTTGCTTCTGGATGCAAAGGGACAAAACTGGACTGCCCTCAGCTGCCCCGCTAAAAAGTGCATAGCTTTTAGTGGGTTAAATGGAAACTACCACTAAACACTAAAAGGCTAAAAAGCTAAGGAACCGGATGGTTGGGAGCCACCAAGAAAAAGAAAGCACTGAGGCGATGAAGCTCCTCAGAGACCAGGGCCCGCCCAGTTTTTGTCGCGCCTGCCGCTGCGGAGGGCTTGGCAGGGCCTGTGAGGCCGAATGGTTGTAGAACATGACCCTTTCTGTGATACAAAGAAACATCCCCCAATGACTGCTTTATCACTTTGCAAGGTATTACTTTGGTATTATAGAAAGTTACCTTGGTACTACAGAAAGTTAGAAAGGATCTGTAATTAGTAAGAGTGTTTGAGCATCTGGAAGAGTCTTGCCAAGCTGAAATTGAGGCAGTCGGCAAATACGTCCGCCATGGGGAGCGATGTTGTGTGTAGCTGCCGCTGCCAACATGAGCACATGTGCACCCCAAAGAGTTGCACTGCCCTATGAGCGCACAGGAGAACGCACACAGGCACGCATTCTAAAACTTACTTGCCACAGGCGGCCACTGTGCGACCAGGCACTGTGGCTGAACCTTGACATGGTCGATTGCTTGACATGCTTTCGCTTGATTTCCAGAACGCCAGCCAGCCAGCCATCCGCACCGCTCATGCGCCCCAAGCAAGAATACACAAATATGCTGAGCTGAAAGCAAGTCGATGCCGCTGGTGATGACGACAAGATCTGTTGGGGGAGGTTGACTGAGTTGTGGCCCCGCTTGCTGTTTTTTGCTTTTTGTTTTTTCGCGGCGAACACGCAGGACAAGTATTGTGCGAAATTTGTCTTCGTGTCCACCCTTCGCGCTTTCACCCACACATCGGGCTTGACATATGCGTCCCCCGGACCCATCCACCGATTCACCGACCCACCCGCGCAAGCTTCATGCCCACCGAGTTCATAGGCGGGTATGCCACCCGAAGGAGAAGCTCATCAAGCCACTTGAATCGAAAGGCGTGATTTAGGGTCAAAATCCCGAGTGAACATCCCAATCCCCACTAAAATAGACAGCCATTTTAGTGATCCCTGGCCTAACGGATTGCTCACTGGTCGCGCCTTCGAGTTCAAATGGAAGGCGTTCTGCACGAAGGCAACCTCCCGAAAATCGGTCTGGGGATGACATGGGGGGCTCGGAAGGGGCTCTGGAAAGACGAGTAAATGATGCATGCCATGGAGTCACAGGCTCAATACGGGAAGCCATGTAGGATAAGTGTAAGCCCGTACTTTGGTTGATTCACCAGTACAGTCCTGATGAAATCTGTGTGGAAGCCAGGCAACCAAAGGGGCCCGGGAAGGATCAAGGGCTCGTACAGTGTTCCATGACTCCATACAATCGGCTGGGACAGTGGCTTCCTATAGGACCACAAACAGCAACTAACAACTAAGGATTGTTTGCCACGCAGCTGCTGGCTTGAACTCCACCCCAGTGGCCAGGGTCGCAAGTGCATCCACGTACGGCCCACCTCGCCTTTTGCTTGCCTGGTTGTGGGCTCGCGAAAGGAGCAAATGACCTGCAAAACCAGCCTTAGCAAAAGCTGGCCTCAAAAGCACCGGTTCCTATCGGGGTAGACATGATTCACATTTCTTCCAACAGTGTCCAGGAACTCTTAAAGAGTCGACTGTGTGTGAAACATGTGTTTCCTTGCAATGGGTGCGTTTCAAGGGGGGCCAAAAAGAAAGCCAACCATCTGCGGGCTGCCATTTGACGTGCCACGGCCATTCCCCGCCTGCATCGCGCGAAACGCGAGCCGCGAGCCGCGGCGGGCGAGCCCGCAATCGCCGGGAAAGCGCTCGAGCCGAAGGCCTTTTCGAGAAGACCACAGTCTTGCAAAATCCGCCTGTCAACCTTTATGATTGTCGGGTTGTGGTTGCTTGCGCTCTCTCCAGCTTTGCAGCCAAGGGTTAGTCCAGCGCGGACAGTGCATGCATAGCTCCCCAAGCTCATCGGGTTGTGGTTTCAAAGGTGGATTTGTTGCAGGTATTTGCAGCCTTAAAGTTTGGTATCCACAAAACGGCTTGTGGAGTGGACAACCGAAGCCGAGTCTTTCAATCCAACACGCCACGTCTTTCAACCCACGTGGCTTCGAAAGTGTTTAGAGGGCTTTGCAGTTGACATCTGTCTTTCTGAATGATCGGAGGTGAGCCTTTGCATCTCAGGCGTGCACGGAATGAGTGAGAGTTGAAGGCCTGGACGAACCAGAAAAAGCTCTGCTGCAAGCTCCCTGAGTTGAACACGAGTGGGTCACTTCTTCATATTCAAAGCCTTGATTCCTTCGGAGCTTCACGAAACGGTGCAGTCCCATCTATCGAAAGCAGACTGGAGCTAGTTCTCAGGTTCAAGGCCTTCATGTGTCATGTGGTTAAGCCGGCCAAGACTGGCTGATCTTGTACTGGGACTGAACCATTTGCAGGGCCAAGGGCAGGTCCCTATTAATTCATAAACGGATTTCACCAAAAAGGTATTATGGGGGGTGACATTCCAGAAAACATGAGGAATGCCTCAAAGCCTAAAGACGTAGCAAAACACAAAGCCTAAGAGAACCCGATCAGCCCAACAGGCCAACGTTGGTTTTGCTAAGACCCCCCCCCAACAACCCCTCCTCCCTCCTGCCTCCTGCCCGTGGGCTACCCTGCATCCCTGAGGCAAGATCCAAAGGAGCCGTGTTGTATTTTTGCTGCGTTTTCAAACTGCTCCGGACTTGCAAGCAACCAAACACACAACATGAGCTACAGCAGCACTTCAATATCTATTTGCCACATTCCGTGGTTTGATTGCGATTCACAATTCGACAAGCAGCGCATATCACAGCGAGCAGTGGGAACTGCATGACATGGACGCACAACCCAAACGCTCCAAGCAGGAAACCCAAACGTGCGTGAATCTGCGAGTGTAGATTCATGCAGGCGTTGTTGCGCACGGTCAAATGTCGCACACAAGGAGAAATGGGACTAGCCCAGCGTTTGGAGATCGATGAATCATTTGGTTCATCCAGATCTGATATTTCCAGCGCTCGCTTGGGTTAACCCAAAGCAGCGGAAAGCCAATAAAAACCAAGACATTCCCCTAAACCAAACCTAAACTTATCCCTAGACCAATCATGTTTTTTAGGGATTCTAATCTTCAGCCCTCAAAGAACAAATCCCACAAACGACGGCCAGGAATTTCACATCTCTTCGATAATGAGCCTGAGAACTGAACAAGACCTCCAAGCCAAAAAGGCCCCTTGGCCAAAATCATGCTCTATGAGGGGCCTTCTTTCGTGTTCATCATTTCCTCCGCACATGCTTGCTCAAAATGGTGATTGTGAAGTCCAAAGGAAACAGATGTGATTCTAGGGTGCCCATTACTGTTTTGAGAAACAGCAATTGCGTTTTCAACAACGCCCTGCCTCCGCCACATTCTCATGGGCATGTCTCTGAGAGTCCCTTTTGAGAAACACCTAAGCAATTCGCCATGTTTGGCCTCTCACACCTCGGGAATTAAGCGGTGGCTGTCAAGTTGCCAGTAGAAGACCCAACAAGGTCACGTTCACCACCTCATTTGACTGCCATTGATGCGTTCCCCGCCCCCCCAAATGCAACATTCCCAACTCGAGGTTCGGCCTTTGCGCAACGAAAGCATTGCCGGCAGCGAGGGCTACTCCTCACAGTTTCCTGGCGAGAAAATACATTTGCCGTCCCGTGTGTGCGTGTGCGTGTGCGCGTGCACAAGCGCGTGCGCGCGTGAACGCGTGCGAGCGCGTGTGGTGTGGGTGTGGGTGTGGGTGTGGGTGTGGGTGTGGGTCCGCGATGCCCGATTGTTTCGCGGCGTGCTCCGAATTTGTTTTCTGCAGGGCGTGGGGCGCACGGGGTGCTCCCCAAGTGTCTTGCGGGCGCTCTACGAGGCGCTCACCGGTTGCTTCGCAGGCGTGCTCGCTCATGGGGTGCTTCTCAACTGGCGCGCTAGCCCATGATCCCCACCTGTCATTTGCAAATGCTTGCGGGCACGATCGATTATGAGCGTTCTCGCTTGTGGGGTGCTCCTGAGTGTGTGTGTGTGTGTTTTTGTTTTTCTGCTTCCCACCTTTTGCCGGGCAATGACGTTTACGGAGGCTGGGGCGCTCAGTCTGAACCGCAAGTGGAGGGGGCGAGGACGGTTTCGGAGCCCCCTGCGCAGCCGGGAGGGATGGCGCCTTAGGCAGGGCTCTGCGCTCCGGCGCAGAGGCTTCCTCTCTCGCTCTCTCTCTCTCTGGTGTGTGCGTGTGCGTGTGTGTGTGTGTGTGTGGCAGTTTGGGGAGGAGGGGGGAAGGTTGCTCCAGCACAGCCAGCCACAGAAATCGATCCGAACAAACTTCTTTAAATTTGAGCGTCGTGCAGTCTGCCAAAGCTCTCACGAATCCCGCTCCATGTGGCTGATGGGGCAAAATGGCAGGGATGCGAAACTTAAGTTTTAACAACCAGGCCCTTCTCATCCTTCTCGCCTTTCAAGGGAACCAAAGGGCTCAACTTTGCAACACAGCGATCCGCACGCGCGAAACTGGCCGGGATCACCTGGGAGCAAATGTCGGCCGTCGCTCAGGCCACTACATGCTTGAGCAGGAGGTGTGAGAGATACCGTTACAACCGGTGAAAAGGACCATGTTGATTGAACCGTTGTGAGCCTGATTGAATTCATGTTGCTTGAATCGAATGTGTCCTGCGTAGTTCTTATGGCGTTTCAAGGGGGCCTAAAGGAAAGTAATGTATGGCTGAACACGCCCAAATGGAATCACGCTGGAATGATTGAGAGGGCATCAACCACATGTCTTCTTCAAGTGACCTTGGTTGCAAAAGCATTCGTTCCATGCCTGTCACCAAATGCGGCACATTTCATGGCGAAAAAGGAAGCCCGCCAGGCCAGAAATCCCAAGCTGTTGTCTGCCTTCTGTGCAGCATAACGCACTGAAGTCGCTATACCGGCTATACCTTCCAAGTTCCCCGCGTTGGACAACAATTAGCTCACATCCAGGCAAAGGCGGAACACGATTTATGAAGGAACCTGAAGCACCAAAGAAAACATTTGACGAACGGAACGGGCAAATACCATGTTCAAGTTCCTGAGGATCCAAGTTCAACCTGTTTGGGTTGTTCACATGTGTAAAGGGTGGAGCCACAGTACCAACAAGACGAACCTGACATGGATCCTCCGGAATTGAAAGGGCGCCCCACACGCTGCCCCGTTCAAGGTCGTGGCTTGTGGCGTCCCAGTGGTCAGCCTCGAGGCAGGGCTGGCTGGATCCTTCGACAACAAAAACTCTAGGCTTCTCAGCTGTGGATTCTGCTTGGATCCTTCTTCCCCTGTAAACGATGAGGATTGAAACTCTTGGGACGCCCCCTCCCTGCAAAAAGTAGACAAGATAAGAGTTGAAACCGCTGAAGGAAGGCCCTCGGCCCTTCAGCAAAACAATATTCCGAATTCCCCTCACAAAACTGCGAAATGTTCGTAAAATCATGGGCTCCTCTAAGATCTGCCGACCATCTCCCTGCAAAAAGTAGGCAATGAGTAGAAACCGAAGGAAGGAAGGGCTCAGTGCGGAAGATCGGGGGAGAAGCGTCCCGAGCAACGCTGGGCGTTGGGCACATGTCGCAGAAGCTCCAGCTCCTGGGCGGGTGGTTTTGGAGGCCTTTGGAGGACCCCAATCGCGGCGTCCCCCAGTCAGGCCCAAGTGGGGCTCAAAGGGGGCCCAAACCGGCAGATTGTTGGGGTTTGACAGTGTGGCATCCGAAAAAGACCAGGTGGATGCGACGGAATTGAACTAAGTCGCTTCAGGTCACGTTTCTCATTTTTTTTGGAACTGAGTGGGACATCGCACTGCCCAAAGCAAGACACCTCACGTTAAAGCAAAGATGTTGGGGGGGATGTCGGAGTGACCAGCCATAAGACAGGTCCCAGAATTTCCCTTGGACCTCCAAAAAAAAGAGCTTGTTTGACTGGAACCGAGGAGTAAGTTGATCAACATCGATCAACATTTGCTCTGGGAAATCAAGGGCTCCTGTGAACAAATTATTTGCACGAACCGAGTTACACACTTCATGTGGTGCGGCCTGCCCGGGCTGTATTAAGCTATCATTGTTTTAAGGCAAAGCAATGCGAATCACGAGCCGCATATCAGTTGTCCCTCAGCCCCCCCTGACGGAGTACCAGGCAAAAGGGCGGCCCCAACCATTTTGGTCCTGGTGTTGCGCTCTACGGACCTGAGTAACTCGAATGGGGAAGTTGGGTACTTTCAAAACAACATGTGTCAGGATCATAGAAAAACAGCGAGCGTAGTCGTGCAACCATGTACTTCCCTGTATCTGCACGATCTACAATAGCCCTCCCAAGCAAAGTAACTACATCATCGTTAACCTCCAAGTGAGCTTGCCATATAATTCATAAACGATTCAAATAATTTGGCCACGCCCGCTCCTTGCTGTAGAGACCGGACAAACTGCCGCGCCACTCTTTCGCGCGCTGGATGACTTGCTCCAGGTGCCTGCCAAGAGCCGCAAAAAATGGCTGGGTTGGTTTGGTGGTTGCGCGGTTGCCAAAACCCTTGCTTGGGCCTGCTTGCAGGCAGGTCTGGGTTTCAAAATGGCGGATCGCATGGAACAAGGGAAGCCAGTACCATCTGGCATACGGATTAAGGGTTCATTTCGAGCCTCCCAGGGAGGTCCTGGAAAATTAAGGCGCGTAATGATAAAGGAGCAGTTGTTCCATGGACAAGGTAAAGCACATCGACTTTCCACACCCAAGTGGTTCCCACTCAATCTGGAAATGGCTGCTAAAGCCACAAGTTTGGAGCTAAGTGACATGAACACGCCAGTGCACCAAAGGAAGTTCTTTCCTATTGACACTAGGTCCTCCAGTAGAGAGGTTAGAATAAGGGGTACACTTTTTTTTCTGTAGTCTATTTTAGTAGGGGAACCCTCCCAAAAAAAGGGTAAAAGGGCACTACTGGGCGAGCTGGTGGCAAACGCATGAATGCTCAAGCAAAGAGCCTTCATCCTGATGCAACCCCCCAAACATCCCCAATCACCTGACGCAGAAAACTACGCCCATCGCGCTACCTATACAAAACAACACCTGTATATATATATATATAATATGTATATATATCGATTGTTCACGCTTGCCGCCTCATGGGCAAACGCCCATGTACAATCACAAATCAACGTAGTCCGCCAAAGTCCGCCCACCTGCGAAACAAACAACAACTAGCCATCTTTCGCATATTTCCGCAGGCACCTGCAGAAGGTAATTAATTGAAGCGACATGAATCAGTCCAGTGAGTTCTCATCCTGCGATTCATTGACCAACACTAGCCTCGGTTGCTTTCTGCTCCCCTACAGAAAGTTTAACTTTTCGTGGTTTAATAGAAACCCCATTGCTTGGCAACAAGTTAAAGTCCTAACATCCAAGCAACATGCACCAACACTCGCCATCTTCGAGGCAAACCGCGCATCCCGAAACCAACCAGCCGGCCCCCAGGCCGCACCAGGCCGCGCCTCTCGCCATCCCCCGCCAGCATTGTAGCCGCTGACCAGAAGGCTTCGACCTGGGACCCTTCAAGCTGGAAGATGAATTTCCTTCGGGGGCCCTCTGTTGGGCACCATCTGGCTAGGCTGGAATTAGGACGCCAGCAAATATATATATATATATATATATATCTTTTTGCCTGTGGAAAACAAAGGGACCCCAACAAAGCCAAAAAACACAACGGGGAGCGAATTCTGGGGAAGCTGAGTGGCCCTCCTGTGGATGGACGAAATCCATTTCGCACCACTTTGAAACCATGGTTGAAACCATTGTTTGCTGGTATTTTCAGGCTAATCTAATCATCATTCCAGGGGTCCTTAGGAGGTGCAGGATTTCGTCCATCCACAGTCTGTCAGGCATCATCTGAGTGGGAGGGAATGTAAACCAACAGGTTGATGCAATGAATTCTGATGTTCAGTCATGCGGAGTGGAAGGCGTGGAATGGTCTGCAAGTTGTGAGCTCGCTTTGGCCCTGCGATGTTTTGTCTGTCACTCGTTGTCCATAACTGCAAATTTGGAAGCAAGAGCCGCACAACGTGTAGATTTGGGTAGAAACAAAACAAAGCAATAGACCAAACAAATGTGCTCAAAAGGGAACCAATCATAGAAGCAAAACTCCAGTTGTTTTTTTGGGGGGGTCCCTGATTCTTAGAAACACGCTGTTGGTTCACCAGTGCTTGTAATGGAGAACACCAGTTTGCCTTCCGGAAAGTCTTCCCTGCCTCTCTACCGAAGGCATCCTAACAAATACCCGGCTTCAACTCAAGGATGTGGAACCCCCATGTACATTGTTTGGCGGGGTAAAAGCATATCAGAATTTGCAGGATCTCACAGTACAAGTACCGTGGCAGATTTACTTTTTGCTGGAAATTTTTGGTGTCATCGTTGAGATCGAGACTCGGGGGACGGGGGCTGATCAACTCGCAGGGCTTGCCTCAAAAGGTAAGCCTTGCAAACCCGGGCCCTCGTGCCTCCTCGCCAGAATGCCCGCCTGCACGTTGGCCCAAGCGCGCGTGAGCGGAGCCACCGACAAAGAAACCAGTTAGGACTAGCTGTCAGCTTATTGGAACAAAAGTAGAGTTATGGAAGTCAATTTCGGCCAAACAAAGTAGCTACGGTCAGAAATCAGTATAGTTTAAACAAGGGTTTGTGACACAAGCAGCGACGTCTACCAGTCTAACCTCGCTGATCTCTTCGTTCTCAGTTCTTCAATGCACGGTCCATCAAGTCACCAGATCCCTGCGCTACCCTAAGGCCCTGAAACTGAGGGACCCTGTTTAACCCTGTTCTTTGCGTTGAGTACGCCCCCCGGAAAAAAATTGAGAATATATGTCCAGTAGTCATTGGTTCCCTTTAAAACCAACAGGGGGAAATATAAAATATTCTTCATTAAGCACATGGAAGCTATCCGTTGTTCCCAAAAGGGGCATCAACAGAAAACCCAGCCCGGCCGCTTTCCCGCGGGCGCCCCATTTTCCACCCGAACGGCCAGGGCTCCCGTGGCCACTTTGCACGGCGAGTGAGCTGAGCCATCCTCGCGAGGGAAAGCGCTTGGGCTTTAGATGCAAATCCATCCGCAAAGGGTCCCTTGGTATTTCCGGAGGATGGCTTTTGGGGGCAAAAAGTGGTCTAAGTACCTCTATAGAAGGTGCTTGGACCCTCTGCGATCTGCAAGTTTGATACAGATTGATAATGGCGACCCCATATTAATCAACCTCGGTTTATTGATGGGGGGTTCTCCCCTCCGGGAACACCGGAACACCCCCCGATTAACAAACTGGGGTTGACTATTTAGTATGGGGTCAACAATACAGTTTTGTTTTTGCTTTTTTTTTAATCAACCTGAAATACGGGATCTCCAAGTAAAGGATCCACATCATGGTGAGCTCGTTTTACCCCCAGGTCAGCTCGCAACAAAAACACCGGCAGTTTGGATGCAAAAGGACCTGTGGATTGCCAACCTTCGGGCAAATGGTGTGCCAAGGAGCGTGGACAGCTGGAATACAAACAGCGTGATTCCTTGTTGGAAGCTTGGACGAAACTCCACGTCCGGCAAAACTGCCACCATTTCAGTGTTCGGACACACAAACATCCATTCCAGTCCGCTGCACCGGCCCTCCAATCCTCCAGCCAAAGGCTTGCTCCGTGACGGTATTCATCACAGCATGATCCTCAGCTTGCTGCTGTCGTGTTAGTAGCCTGTACATCAGCTAGAAGCAACTGTCTCAAATTGTCAGAAACATCCGTACTTCAAGCGCAAGGGCTTTTGTAATTGGAGTCGAGGTGATCATGGTGCATCTCAGTCGTCCGATCTGGGTGTTGTGTTCTCTCTCTCTCTCTCTGTCTGCCGTTGCATCCAAAAGGGTGTTGTGTTGGTGGATGCAGTTCCATGAATAATAAAATACGAATGATCGAAACCATTGTCCATACAGTTTAGGCTAAGGACTCTCCGTCAATTCAAGCAAGACCAGGACGGATTGACCTACTTGTCAACTGACCAGGAGGTTACACCAAGAAAATGCCGTAATTCCACAGAAATCACATCAAGGGTTTGAGCATGTATCCAGCCTTCCTGGGGCGAGGGCGAAGGGAACTGCTGGTGACTTTCGGATCCTCATAGCTTGTGCGTACATAACAAACGAGAGCAGTCCGTGTGCACAACTGCTCCAGCCATCAGACTTGGGCCGATCGCAGGCAACTGTTTTACCGTGCGTCTCACTACCTCTACCATGTCCTTGCAGAACTCCTGGTAGCTTCTTAGCCTGAGCCTTTAAAAGCAGATTTGGATACACCCGGCTCCTTGGCTCACTCACCACCAGCTAGACCTTCCTTTTTTGGATGCCACACGCATCTCCGCTCCCATTACTGCTGACAGCCGGCAGGTTCTTGGATTCGTCCAGCACCTCCACACGTTGCGTGATTTCAAGCTGCCCAGATCCATGTCCCAAGCCATCCAAAGGGCGTGCAAATTCACACCATTTTGGAGGGGTCTAGCAGGACACCCCTCAAACAAGCTTCCACGCCATTTGCGGCTTTGCCCTTTGAGGCCTGATAAACCGCAGAAATCCGCCCGAAGTCACAAGACACTGCGAATCTTTAGGGATGGTATCTTCGCGAGATTTGGACTTGTACCATCCCGAATTGGCTTCCGGCATCAATGGATTCAGGGCTTGCCTGGTAAGCGTGGGTCGATTGAAAAAGCCCGAAGAGGTTCTCTATGATACCCCCCCACCCAAAAAGCGAACATGGCCACCGACTGGTGATGTGGGAATCCCAACCTCAAACAAAACAAACAAAACTTAAAAACCACACAAGCCACCACAAGTTCTTGACAATCGCCGACCTTTTCAACTACCCAATAGAACCTTGAAACAATTGCCAAGAGCCAATAGGTCTCAAATAGCAACTCTGCTGACCTGCGTTCTTTTGGACTGGAAACAAACAAGTTCAAGCTTGGCAACTGCACCAGTTAAGTCTCAAACCCCTAGGAACCCAACACCCCCCAAAAATCTCAAGTATGAGGGCCTTTGACGCCCCAAAGACCCTTCACAGAATCGCAGGCTTCGAGTTTTCCAGCGCCCACTGCGACCTTTTTGTCACGTGGCCTCAGAGGGCTCCAGTCCTTCGAGCTCGTTGTTGGCCAGCTGGAAGAGGGGCTGGCCCGCCACGTCCGCGGCCAAACCACTGCAGGCCAAGGCCCTGGCCAGGGCTCGAACCTGGGCCCACGAAAGGCAACCAAAAGGCGACACAAGGAAAGGAAGTGACATGGCGGTGATGCGTCAAAATAGGGTCACCCAAAATGGCTTGCCCATGGAAACATGGCCTGAAACCTTCGTCAAAAATAGGGTAACCCCGAAATGGCCTCCAAAATGGCCTCCCAACATGGTTATAGGTCAATGCAAACATTGCCTAAAACCTGCGGTCCCTTGGTGGTTGAATTTTGAGCCATGCCCAAACGAAAGACGGGGCCAAACTCAATCCAAAGGGGAACCAAAGGAGCCTCAAGGAAAGCAACTAAAATCCGAACCACAATATGGACACTGACCACACTCAACGCATTTGTTGCCAGTGCTTTTGCGCCTCGCCTGCCGTGACCTTCACCTCGCAGGACGTCCAAGTGAAACGAAAGGAACAGGACACCAACTCGAAGGGGTCCCAAGTTTTGATCTGCGAGCGCTCAGGGAGGGCCTTCGTCGCTGATCTGGCTCGATGCCTTGCCAACGCCTCCTGTTGTGGCCCAGGTCCAAGCCGGATGCTTCCAGATGCTGAGGTCAATGCTTCCTATTTGTTCACCATGCTTCGGGTAATTAATTCTGGCGTGGGATTCTTTTGCCCCAAGTCCGGCTTCAGGCTTCCCTCCCCTTCGAACACATACACAAGCTGCCCAAGCAAACGCCTTCCCTGATTAGTTCATCCAAGAGGCGGCCTCAGGATCATCCACGACATTCCACTCCTTGCCGCGGAAGTCTCATGCGTGGAAGCAATGATGACCCAATGTCCGTTTGGACAAAACCAACGACTAAATGGCACTGGCAATTTGTTAGAATCCGACTGAAACCAGTGCCAGCAAACTGACCCATACAGGGCACCCATGATGATGACATTTTGAGTGCGCCCATTCCAAGACTGTTGCCCACTTATAGCTCCGATGCCGTGGAACCATGAAGGATGGCTAGCAACTCGTACATTCAAAGAAGACACCTGCGCTGTGAACATCTGGGACCAACCAAAAGGGGGCCCCGCAAAGGGAACGTGGCGTTCCCAACCAAAGAGTCGCCTCAAAACTTCGCCCAACCATCTTGCCCGAGGCGCCAGGTTCACTGTGACCCGCAGCTCGCACTCTTCCTTTGGCAGGGCCAGAAGCCGTACCATCTCCCAGACCGCGCTGGAGGAGATGTGGTTCATGGAGAGATCCAGCTCCTGAGACGGGTGCTGGGCGAAAAACATAAAAGAGGAGACATGATACAGAGGTCCTGTGGTCCAGCCACTACTCAACCCGGGCAAAAGGATATGGCTTTGGCAAGTTTCAGCCCCTAACCACTCGAAACCGGTTTCAAACTGTTCAGCTGCCCAGTTCCGAACATAAGTGCATTTCTAGCAGGAAATCTCAACAATTCCAGGCGTACTTGCGCCCCCCTGTCCAATCCAAGACCTTACCTGCAAAGGCACCCGGAGCTGTTTGACCGATCCACAAATCCCCGTTTTGGTTGGACTCGGTCCCTCCAAAAGGCAGTCGACACCCCAACGGATTTAGAGGAGATACGAGAAGCTCCTTCACCTTTGGTCTTGCCCCAGGGTCACAGTGGCCATGCGACAGAAAGGGGGTGCCCGCCTTTTTTGGGCAGTTGATTTCAAAGGAAACCCCTTCCCCCGAAAAACCAGACACAAAGCAGCACGGTGCCGAAGCCCACCCGACCGACGGATGAGAGACCACGCATGTCAAAAAACCACTGCTTTTCTACCTGGCCCAAATTTGTGGGTGTCGTTCTTCAAGGCATCCTTTGCTGGGGTCCAACGGGAAACCCCCGGGGTTTTGCATCAGACTTTGGAGCTTCCGGACGAAACCTCGGCCCAGGCGCCAGCTCGCGGCTGGGCTCCGCGAGCGCTTGCAGCGCCAGCGAGATGCCGCCCTGGCGCATCGATGCGATCGACGCGAGGCGATCCGTCGAGGCGGTCCAGGCGGTCGAGTCGGTTGGTTCTCAGAAAGAGATTTACGCCAGGGCGGTGGGAAATGGAATGTCCTTTTGGCTCCTTTTTCTTGAGCCGAGCCAACCAGGGTCCCTCAAGAGCAGGGCTGTGGTTGAAATGGAATCCACTTCTATACAACAGAAAGGGCTTCCCAAAAGACACACTTTCCATAAAAAAAAGAGAGAGAGAGAGAGAGATGCCCTTGTATCACAGATGTGGGGGGATAAACCCCTTGATCCCACAACCAGCTTTGGCTCCTAGATTTGACATGCCCTGTGATTTTGGTGGAACTTGGGACTCAGG